GTACAGGGACAATGATGGCATGCTTGGACTTGTAGTTCCTTGGCTGATATATATGTGTGGGGGTGGGGGGTACAGTTCTAGTGGATGTTTATATAATATGGGGGGGGGCGAAAAAAAATGTTCTGCCCCGGGCGCCCATAACTCTGGTTACGCCACTGCTTTCCAGGACAGCTATGTTGTCTCCAAACTCTTCACCCTTTTGTGGATAGCCCTGCAAGTTTTTCTTAAACTGGTCTGAAACAAAACAGATTTGAGATCTTGGTAAAAGGTTGAAACGCGTTATCCGGCTGGAGATTAGTATTACTACAATGGGTTACAATGCTTGGCTTTTAAATGGTACATTAGAGGTGTTGATCATCTTTTTTAAAAGACTTAAGACAGTGGCAATAAGAAGGGAAATCTGAGAATTTCAGCTACTACAACCCATTAGGGATTTCCGGCCTTCTCAATAAGTGGATTTAATAACACTGTGCACATAGCACCAATGTGCTTTAAACTCCCAGCAGTCTGATTTCAGTTTTACTTTGTACATTAGATAATAGACATCTCTAACACATAAAACACATCAGCACCAGTGACTGAGGTTAAGTGGAGATCACATGAGCCACTTGTGGATAAGTGGAGTCAATCAGAGCAAAATAAAGAAACTGACAAATAGACGTCCGCAGCAACAGTACAAATGAGCGCTTGCTTTTCTTCTAGTTACCTGTAAACCAATAACGCTCTGCCCGGCTTTTAGCTTATCATCATTAAACTGTCTCTTCTGCTTTTCTGCATATTTGACACCAATGTCTACGGTAGTGTGAAAGCCTTTTGTTTTTGCCTGCAAGAGAGAAATCAAACATTTCTTCAAGATAATCCTCTAGAGTTTTACTGGCTAAAAAAAATTAACTAAATAAATAAAGCTGACCATACATGTATAGATTTTCCTGTTCAGCCCACATAACAAGCGAAAGCCACTCGATTCTCCCATCGGGAATCAAATCTCACCTGCCGACTATTGAATTTTGACAGCCAGTGCCTGCAGCTGTGGCCGATTGGCTCCAATCACTGGTCCCCCCAATAATTTTCTGGCAGACTCCTTTGATTTTTCCGTTGAAGTTGACAAGCCAGGTGGTGCCAAACGGGCCCCCCGCAGTTACAATTTCATCTGATTCACAGGAACAGGTTGAAAGGGATGGCTAGCTTAAGGTACATACATCTAGGTGTACAGCAAGAGTTCACTGAATAGATGAATGTTCATTTCCCTTATTCATATATCCCAGACGTACCAGGCTGCATTTACACAGAAGTACTGGTGGCTAAACAGAACTTACAGTCCCATACCTCTGCTGCAATTATACTGTTCCAACACACAACTCTGGCTCCAGTTTCCAATCTGTTTATCTACTTAGGTGACTGGAGGTAAGAGGAATATCAAAAATTAAATATATAGACACCGGCACTCCAATAGCAAGTCAAAAATGTCTGTTTATTGATGTATGAGCAGCATAACGTGATACACTCAATGAGACGTTTCAGTGTCTCGCAGGATCCCCTTCATCAGACAGAACAAAGAATAGAATGTAGAAGTTATGCATACGGTATGCCAGGAAGGCCCCAATGGTTTGAGGACACCAGAACTGATACTAATCGGTTACTAACAGTTATAGAACATAGTGCTCTTTTCTTTGTTAAAGCCAACCATCATCCATTATGAATATTTCCAAAGTCAGACTTGTCTAGAAAAGCCTCTACAATGCTGCATATGAAATTGCTTTCTGTTTCCTATCAGTTAGGAACAAACTCTGCCTTTTGTCATTAGCCCTGCTCATCCACCAGTGCCCCCCTCGCTCAGCAATTAGGGCAATTATATTGGACAGTTAAAGTGTGGTCAAGACTTAACACACAAGAATATATGGCCAAAAAGGTCAAGAAATGAAGGTCTTAAACAAACTGAAAGCAAATAACAGAAGAGGCTCTTCTGAATGGAGTGAAGAAACAGCGGGCATCCTTTGGTGGCTACGGAACATCAATGTTTTCAGAAAAAAAGCAATGTTGCACGGTAAACGTATTAACCAACATCCGTTCTAGTCATTGTCTGGTTCAACATTTATTTAAAAAAAAAAAAAAGATTGGAATTTGTACTGCCAGCCTTAGATATGAAAAGGCAGAAGGCAAATTAGTCTGCTGGCACCCACACAAAAAAACAGAAGTCAAGGCTCCGAGTGGACAAACCGTTATGCCGCCATTACTAAATGTGGCAGGTATGGTGCTAAATGCTTAAAAAACAACAACTACAAAAGAGAATTCCTTACAATGCTGCATTTTCCTACAAATCATGATCAAGTAGGGATGTTCAGATACCAGTGCCGATACTTGGCATTTTCATGAGAACTACCAGGGTTACAGCTGGGACCTGGCTCTGGGGCTCCACCACTTTCCTGAAATCATTAAGTCTGTATTGTTTTAGAAAATCTGTCACATGACAACAAAAATGTATCAGTACATGTATATGCGAGTACTCGGACAAGTGTCAGTACTTGAAAAAAATATGGTATTGGTGCTTTGCTAATATATATTTATATAAAAAGATTAAAAAAACTTCATGCACTAAAAACAGATGTACAAATCCCAGGAGCCCCGTATGTGCCTTAAAATGACAGCTGCCTCCTAACTTTTGAATTTTTCTCCAATCTAACCTTGGAGCTGGAAAAGTATCTGTACTTGTACAGTGTACGGTACTTGGTATCTGAAGTATCATTAGAATTTGAAACAAATCTAATTAAATCCTTTAAATGAGTATTTTTTTATTTAATGGACTTAATAATTATGAGTATTTGGTAAAGCCTCCTATTTTGTTTCCGAATTATTGGAATGTCTAACCCCCTTAGGACACAAAGGGGAAATTATGAATTCCACAGACAACCATTGAGAGGCAGGAGGAGGTCTGGCTGACAGAACAGCAGCACACCGGGAGACAGTCCAAGGAGGAAATGTCACTGCAGACATTTTCCTGCAAGCTTAATAAATCAGGACATTTGTCACGTGCACACACGTGCCAACTCTGCAGAGTGACAACATTGAGCTCATCTTCACCGAGATGCAATACCATGGAACTGTGCATTGAAAACAGACTCTCCCAACACTAACAATCCAATGCTGGGTGACATTTGGTACTGGGGGATATTGCATGTGTAAAGCCCACTGCAGTTCCTAGTTGCCAAAAGCTTACTGGCTACAATTTTTTTTTTTTTTACTGTCCAACACAAGTCTGCAGTAAGTGAAGTCAGAACGTCTGGTCCACATACTTGTAGAAGATGAAGATCACCAGCACTCCAGTAGTAGCATTAGTCCCTGTGCCTATTTATTGAAATGAAACGTCACAAACATGATATAGCCAACGTTTCGGGGCCACGCAGGGTCCATTTATCAGGGCAACATAGTGACGTCACTAGCTTGCCCTGATGAAGGGACCCTGCGTGGACCCGAAACGTTGGCTATATCATGTTTGACTTCAATAAAAAAGCACAAGGATTGATGCTACTACTGGAGTGCTGGTGGTCTTCATCTTCTACAAGTATGATACACACAGCACCATCCGTGGATGGACTATCATTGCGAGCACCAGGGTTGTTGAGGTCCAACCGCTGTAAGGAGCGCAGGGGACATATCCGTATTCCACATACTTGTTCTCAGTCAGTGACCAAGAGTCCAATGGATCAGAATAACAGCCAGCATTTAAGAGGGGGATGTCGGCAATGGCAGTCTGTGCCTAGGTAGATCAGCCCTAGGTACATATCCCACTCTGCCCTGCCAGACATTTTACAATTCCTGCTTATCAATGCTGGTAGAAGTCAAGGGGTGGGACTGTCACTCTACAAAATTATGAAACCGGCAACAGATTGAAATGTCTGCTTACAGGAAGTCATGTGACCAGCATCAATAGCCACTCCAGCTTCCAAGGTATCAGGTGTAGGTTATAATTATGTTTATTCTTTTCCAAACTGTTGGAAAAAAATTTCCACGGAGAACTTTAAAGAGAACTCTGAACCATCCCACAGGGGTCCCTGCTCAAACCCTGCGCAGGTAGAACTCTTGGTGACTGAATCAAAAACTCCTGCACTACAGGGCAAGAATGCAAACCGCTTATCGACAGATTCCAAGGCCACTTTTCTCGTGCTGTTAACCGCGGACAACACATATTGGTAGTGGATCATCAATGAATACCTTTTCTCCTTGAAGCCCTACTTGCATGTGAAAACAAAATAAAAAAAAAACACAGGGTAGTTTGACACCTCATTATCATTTTATGGTCTATACATTTAACCCTAATCATTAATGTACAGCTAAGAGGTACATACCAAACCAGCCAGGGACACCAGAGAGGACTGAACTTGTGTCATGTTTCCATTCTCAAAGAGGTCATTGGCTTCAAAAATGTCATGTGGCCTCATGCCATATTCCTGCATGGCTTTAATAAAGTTTCCAATGTTTTCCAGCTGTGGAACAATCAGCAGATCACACCATCAAGATACATTTCCATGAGATCACACAACTACACAATCCAAGAAATGTGCTCACAGCCCTTACCTTGTGCCAGTTTATTTTTGCATCATTGACTTTCCTTACTGCTCCTGGATGTAATCTATTGATGAGACTAGAAGAAAGAAGGAGATTAGCAAATGTACTGAACAAGGCCAAAAAGCTTTAAACTGAATCCATAAAATCATGCGCACGGACCTCCAACCAATGCTATTTGAGTTCTGGGTGGAAGCCAACAGGTAAATGGAATGAACACTGCGATATTTAAGCTTTCCGAGATAATCTAGACTGTAATACAGATGTTACTCTGGATAACACAAAACCCAGAGCATCAGACAGCCAAGCAGTAATCTAGCCCCAAGTATAATCAAAGACCACAGCTCCAGAATATACTCTACACAGTGGAAAAGGTGTGTGGAAGAAAAAGCAGCATCCTATGTACATACTCTGCAATGGTATAATGAGACATGACACACTGACGCAGCTATTTTCAGCCTGCTGCCTATGCCAGCTGGTCACATTCTTCTATTCTTTTTACCATACAGTATTATGAAATACAATAGCAGATAGAAAGTGCACCAGCATTGTGCAATATCTTCAATAAAACTTTATTTAAAAGTAAATCTTTATTTACAACATTTGCAAAAAACTACAATTTATCCAAGGTGAGACTCACTCAATCCAACTGTTGAACTCATTCAGCAACATGTAAATCAAAGCCTCATACGTGCATCACCGCTTATGCATTTTGAGGGAGACCCCCCCCCCCCCCCCCCTCGCTTCCTCAAAGCTCTGATAAGTGGGTTTTCCACAACACCACAATGAACTTTATCTGGATGGGTTTGGCAATTGGTAGTTTGTATCCAGTGGACTGAGCAAGTCTCACCTTTTTTAATAACACTATTATAGAGGTCACACAATGCCGGTGAACCTTCTATTTGCTCTATAGAGTCACAGAAAGATTTCCCAGTCTCAAGAGAGCTGCAGGGCCGTGAATATTATCCCTACATCAGCATTCTTATGGTAACAGTTGAATGAACTTTGGATTGAAGCAACACTTGAGCGCTAACAGTTTGCATTTATTTAACGGCAATAGGAAAATAGAGAGAGAACTTGGGCAAAGGGCAGCACAGATAAAACTCTTCCCCCAGACCCACTGAAACTGATGATACCGGTCAGTGCAAAGGCAGCAGCAATAGCAAAGCAATCACCTGATCAGAGGTAAACTCCATTTAAAAAAGTTGCTTTTTTGTTACTCGAGACAGCCTATTGAGTCTTTCCATCTACATAAAAGCTGTAGACCAGGCTCCGTTTGCATAGTGATCTGGTTTTACAGCATTTCCCAGATGCAGGAAGGTGAATGTCAGGTGCTTCGTGTTGTTTTTGCAGCAACATGGCGGTGTCTACCATCAGCCAGAACAGGTTACCACAGGAGGGATCAGGGTTTTATTTTCCACGGTGTGCAAATATTTGCACGATTTTAGACTTATTCAAACTGACCCTGTGGTCACCTTAAAAACAGTAAACAGGCAGAAGATACTGAACTTTAGCAAGCAAACGTCCCTACATGTTTGCAGATATACCTTATGGAGCACCCTGGTTATCTGGAGATCTACAGCGCTCTATTAGAAAAATCTGAACCAGATACTGTGAACGGTAGCTCAGGCTCGCTCAGTCCCTCACAACGACGCTGTTAATCACTAAGACCCAACAGAAAAGGCAGATGGAGCTGAAGAAACTGGTCAAGATCTACACAAGAGTGCTCCAGCAGTTGGGGTACCAGGATTGTTCTACAAGGTATATCAGGTACCTCTAGAAGTCACTAGTCTAGAAGTCTAGTGCAACATGTTTCATCCCAAATAAATTAGGTCACATTTCCAATGGTATTAGTAGTTTTATCATTCACTTTGCTTGCTTTTTTTTACAGGTTTCTTTAAGCTTTTATAGCTTGGTACAAATGATTTACTGAAAATCTTTGCTCATATCTATGTATCTGTGTATATCCATCTAATTGCACGGTACTTTCCTGGTCCAGGCTAAAAAGCAAACTTCAGACTGGTTGCTATGGACAGCACATAGACTGATCCTCCTCCTAATATCTTCTAAATGTACTTTCCTATTGCCACAATGTGATAAGGACACATGTAACCAGTCAATGGACAATTTCTCTTAACATTTCTGTAAATTCAAACCAGATGCGTATAGATGGGCAAAGGGTTCTGTTTGATGAAGGTTTTTCTATTCTTTTTTTCTCTATAGGTTGAACTTGGTGAGGTTGAAAAAAGAAAAGTACATCAACTATGCAAGATATCCAGCAGAGCAACCCAACATACTTTTCAAATACATAACTGTTCATTTGTTCACCTGTCTACTTACAGTAGTGTCGATTTCCTGGTCCTCAGCAGCACTCGGTGGTTCCTCCTGCTGACCACTACCATATCATTACTGTGTCCTATAGTGATGTGCAGGTCAGCATGAAAAAAACAATGAGCGCTGCCAGGAAATTGACACTCCAGGAAGTTGGTTTCTGCAAAAGAATTCAGTTGGAGACTCCTCAGACCTCAGAGTAGCGTTCAGGCAGTAGAAGAGGCAAGTATCCACTAGATTCTTTACAGGGACAGCTTTTATTAAGAATTTCAGTATGCTGACAGGGTTGCTTGAACGTGACCCTGCCGATATAGGGTTAGAACAGAAAAAAGAAAGACCTACCTGTAACAGAAGAGAGAATACTTACCTTTATGGCAGCCTATGTGTTGAAACCCGGCCTTTGGGTGGATTGAACTGTTTACCCCCATAGCATGCTCTGGCTCTTCCCACCAGCTCATACTTTCTGATATGACATGTGGACTGGTAGCAGAAACCACAGAACGAGCTGGAGCAGATATTCTACTCAGCTTCTAGTATATGTTAGCTACCTCGTGGTCTCTGGTTTCAATACATTGCGAGTCACTGACCTGGAACAAGCATGCAACAAATACAGTCATGGGAAGTTTAGGTATATGCATACTTATACCTGGTCAGAGACCCCAAAAGGAAGTTAAGGCATTAGCATAACAGCCAGGCAAATTAGCATTATTTTTTTTCAGCACCCAACTTATTACCAATTCTAGTATATGATAGAACAGCGCACTTACTGGCAGAGAATGGCTCCATCTCTCAGACCCATCTGGAAGTTATCACCAATCCTCATGCCGGTCACCTCCTCTATCCAGAGTCGCAGATCCTCCTCCACCTGAGCGTCATATTTCTGGGCAATCTGGAAGCAAAAGAAAAATATATGAAAACATAGCTTGTGTGATTTTACACCTCATCAAATTTGAACATTGCCATTCTAGCATTTCTTCCAGTTTAGAAATAGCATTTTAACCCGACTAAGGCGCACATTAATATTCCATAATCTAAGCTGGCGACCACCATAGCTTTAGATGTATGGATACAACACCAAGAAATTAATGCAGTTTGCCATTACGGTAGCTCTGGAACAACTGCCCCATAGAACAAGGAGCACATATAAAAATCACAAGTAGACACTAGACACAAACTTCCAGAAATGCCATCAAAGTATTCCTGACATGGTGAACGCAGACAAGCTCTGCAGACTGGATAGATCAGTGAACGTGGACCAGTTATGCTGAGAGTGAAAGGAGATTTTAGAATAATGTCTATATACTTCTGTTATGGTGACAGGTTTGTAAGAAAAGCTACTTATCAGGCTCATGATACCATGCAAAATGATGCACTAGAAGTCAAAGCAGCCAAGCAGGAGTTACTTTCCTGTAACTCAGGGCACAGAGATGGAAGAAGACAGATTTCTGATTGCTTGCTGGAGGTATTGCAACTCGCAGCTTTTTCCTCAATGCAAGTGCTGTACTGCCAGACCATATGCGCCAACCCTTGGCAGACTCTACCATCAGCCAGTGAATGTCACATATCATGGGTATTGCAAATTACTATGGAATTCAGGAGCCAGTCTGTCCAATCCAGGAGCCATCTCCAATGAAACAGCTAGAGAAAAATTCAAAAGTTAGATGCCAGCTGTAATTGTTAGGGAGCATTGGCTGCCTGGCCTGCACAGGACATTGACATCAGCAATATTCTCAGTAGAGAATTACAAATCTGCTGACGTCAGTACTCCCAATACAGCGCAGATACCTATGTGAATAACCGCTGGGTGTGCATCTCATGATTTAAAAGTGGAATACCCCAATGTATCATTACAGACTTCCACCTATTCTAAAATCCTAAAACCATTCTTCCAATTTAAACGCAAGTTAAGGTGCACTTTAAGTAAGCCTTCTAATAGGTTACAGCCCAATATGTCCCAAACTCCACTATTCTCTAGCGGATGTGATTACCCAGGAAGTATCCTATGACCTAAAGGGAGAGTGATGTACTATTCATGAGATCCTGACAAATCTTTGAAGCAGAAATATATAACCAGTGAAACAATACAAGGCCTGAGAGCACTTTTATATGATCCATGGGATTAGTGTAAACAGCAGAGGCACACATCATTTGGCAGTGTGAATGGAATGTCTGAGTAAAGCACTTTGTCCCACTTACTGCACTGTTAGCCCAGTGCTTAGAAACCACAGATGGGAAAAATCAGACTTAAATCAAACCAAAATACATATTACAGGACAATAGTCACCTGTGTAACCACAGCACTCCTACACCGCAACGGGGTGTGAAGGTGAAGAATTTGATGTACAGTAAGAGCCTAGAAGTCTTATAGGATTCCATGCATGCATACAGGATTAGCATCTGCACAGCACAATGTCTACCCATTTAAGTCTTTTCAGAACAGTTAAGTCAGCATTTAAAGGAAAGCAATTGATTTCCAAGGCTGACTGGACACCACATTGAAATCTGGGTGAAGGAAAGCAGGACATTGTTTTTTTTTTTTTTTTTTAAAAGCAATCACAAAATGAGACCAAACAATACCTCTAGCTCATATCTTTGCAATGCCAGCCAATACTCCCTGGCACCTATGCCTACCCCGTCCAATACATCATGATGATGTGACATGCATCAGAACAGAGGATAACCCTATAGAATAAGGGTAGCCCAGCCTTTTCTTCCAGTTTCCAACCACCAAGCTGAGAAGGTAAGTACTCACACAATCTATTTTTTTTTTTTAATTTTAATTCTTCAAAACATACCTGACTGGTAAGAGCAGGGGGGTCCCATAAACAGTTGGCTTTCTTCCTTGGAAAGGCTTGTTCTACAGGAAGTGCACTACAGCTTTGTTATGCAGTCAGTTTAGATGCAAACCATGAACAGAGGAGTTGCAGAACGAACTTTCAGAGACCACATATAGAAGTGTTCAAAAATATATTTTCTTATGACTTTCCCATTTTTACATGCTTGCTCTTTGATTAATATAGAGATTAGTCGTTTAGCCATTAGAGGATGGCTCAGTGCCATCAACATTGATGAGCAAATGTAGAATATTTTGACCAAGAGGGTCAGCACGACACCTAAGAAACTAGACCTTTTTTTGGAAGGACAGGTCAACAATGGCAGCCTACATGACAGGTTGCCTTTAACAAAGACTTCAATTGTTCTACAACATACAACGGCTTCCATGGTGAGAAGTCACCTGGGTACTCTACCAGAAAACATCTGAGGAATTTATTTGATCACATGGAACTCAGGAAAAAAGTCTGACCTTTCTGAGCTCTTTCCTCCTTACCAAGAAAAGTCTGGTAAACGATTAATCATGTGTCAAAAGCAAAAAGCATGGAGTAACGTGCTCTGTGTACAAATGATCCAGTTCAAGGATACGCAAATCAGATCAGCAGCACATTAACCAGCATGATCTTACTAATGGAAAGCGCCAGTAATCTTTTTACATAAAGCAACCAAATGGAGAAGTTTCACATGACCTAATTCTAGAAAAATCTGTTTCAAATTTCACTGCAACAGCTGGCCGTACGCCAGACCTTATAAACTTTCCCCGCATGCTTCAAGGAGTGGGAATTTCAGAAGCTTTCCATAATAGGAGAGTCCCATCTCTGGGCACGAGCCATATTCAGATCCACTCTAAGGGCTTTGTGGGTTAAAAGAATAAAACATTTTATCTACGTCAGTATTCCACAAGGGCTGCCAGAATCTCACTCAACCATTACCAAAAGCGCCAGTATTTTATTCCCATCACGAAGACAATAAAAGCTGGAATTGTATTCTTTCTGATGCAACTCAGTCAAGTTTAATTTTCCCTACATAACTGGTGTATAAATTTGGAGCAGTTATTTTTAAGGGTAGGACCACACTTTTACAATGAGGTATTAGTGGGGTATGAAAAGGTCAGCCAACTCAATACGAATGCTTCAGCTTTGGTAGAAGCCGAAGAATTAAAGGGAAACTATATCCCATTTTCAACAGGTCCACATTGTGATTCATTTATGGATAAGGACAACAGAAATTGCACTGAAATTCAAATACTGAATATACTAAAAAGTGGCCCATATGTATTTCCACAACAAACTCTGCAAATACCTTTGTATTTCAATGGATGAATAGGTCCAAAACCAACAGCATGTAGGCTTTTTTAAATAGCATATACCAAATAACTTTATCCAGATTTAATGCTGAAATTCCAATACAGAAGTACATAACTGCAGACCTTTATACACTGAGTGGCCAGTTTATTATGACCACCTGACGTTTGTAGGCTGTTTTGCTGATATTCGCTGCATGGCTTGAGCGCCAACAATCATCCCACGTTCAAAGGCTGTTAAATCGCGCTGTTTACCCATATCTGCAGAAAAAAAAAAAAATCACTTCTACCGTCGTGGTAAACAACCTGCTTCCCTATTTATAATGGTCTGGCCCTCTAGCAACTTCAGCGCAAAATTATAGCTAATTTGCTTACAAATGTCAGGTGGTCATAATAATCTGGCCACTCAGTGTATTATGCAATAAACAAACTCTGAAATAAACAGAATTGTGGGGGTTATCCCCATAAGTCAAGCTGACCTGTGACAATAATGATGTCACAGGTCAGCTCTATCAATCGGGAAGTCTGCACCGATCACTGTCAGTCACCACTCCCCCCCCACAGGGATTCCCCTCTCCGGTCCTCCAGCACTGACTGGACCAATAGACAGGGGAGGCGTCAGGCACAGCTTGGTCAGGGTGGATCTCGACAACATTGTTGGGATCTGTCCCGGATGCGACGCTCTTAGCATATAGCAATCAATACACTGAAAAATACTGAGTTTTGGGCCATCAGAGGAGACAGTACATGTCCTCCGATGACCCTGGGGAGAACTATGGGCAAAAACGGTTGCCCCATAGTCCTCCATTAAGTAAAGTCTCCAGCATGTTAGCATGTTGGACTTCTATCACACTCATGAACCAAGCAATGGTGCCCATGCGTATGAAAAGAGTTCTATTACAGTTGAATATCTATGGGGCAGCTGTAAACAAACACTCAAAAAATAAACCATTGGGAATGCTAAAGATAAAGAACCTTGTCCGATCCCCACTGTCTTCTTCGAAGCTAGGGCTATCTGCACATCGCTCCCCCTCCATTGCCATAAACAGCACATGGGACTAAGGTGCCCTTATATTAGGGGGAGAAAATTGTGAGATAGATATTAGAGAATTTTCAGATCTGCCCATGTCCAGCTTAACATATTTGCAGATTAGATCTCAATAATAACAAAGATAAAACAGTAAAGTACACAAATGGAGAACTACAAAAAATATACCAATTGTGCAGAGAGACTATCCATCATGAATGGCTGTATAGGTAGCGCCATATCAATAAACTAAGCTTCTCGAGATGCAATTCTACAATTCACTAGGCTGCTAGGTTGTGGTGTAACATGTGAAAGCACCTGGACCTCAGACAGTAAGGTTCCCAACAACCAACCCAATTGCACAAGCCTTGTTCAAGAGACCAGCCTTATAGACCCTTAATGTCACCTTAAAGAGAACTAGTCATCGCCAGTGTGCTATCACATAGGGGGCTTGTGAGCTCTCCCACGTGATAGCAATGAAGCAAAATAAAAAAATAAATAAAAAAATAACCTCAAAAAAGTTTAACGTGCCCCGACCCTGCGATTGTGCACATACTAAACGGAAACACAAGTCGGGTGCACCTACATATGAAAACGATTATTGCGCTACAGAGGTTAGGTATCGCCACGTGCAAGTGCAATACTTTTGGGGCCAATATTCATGGCTAACTCTAAACCAATGACTGGGCTTATTAGGTTATTTTATTATATTGGCTTGGAGTTGTAC